CCCCCCTTCTTGGTGAGACCTATGACAAGGAGACCGCCCCCACCCGTACTTTCCCATCTCCCTGCCCCCTCAGAAGCTTGCCTCTCCCCCACACTAATTACCTCCCGGGACCTGACTGTTGGGTGGGGGAGGCTGGAGAGGAAGAGTCAAAAATGGGAACTCAGGGCTCAGTTGTTTGGCTTCGCTGAGCCCGAGGATGGAGTTTCCCTGAACCTGGCCGCTTCCCTCCGAGCAGGTTGCTCTGGAGGCAGCTGAACCAAAGTCCCCTGTCCTCCCACGTGTCAGTTTCTCTGCCAAAACCTAGGCCGGTGTTCTACCTAGGACAGGAATCTGGGGCACGGAGCTGCCTGCTCTGTCCGAGAACCCGGCCCTCCTTCCCTTTCTCTCCCAGGGCGGGTTGACCGCTCTAGGGGAGGTGGCATTTGCCCTCCTAAGACTTCAGAGTCTTAGATGTGCAGTTTGCTTCTTCAACCAAATAGTTACACAGGGCTTAGTGGAGCACACACACACACACAGTTCTGTGGTGCTTTTTCATATTCATGTTTCTTTTGAATACGCAAATCTATGTGGCAAGCTCTGTGCTGGCCACTAGGGTCACAGAAATCTTAAGATACAATTCTGAGCCTCAAACAGTCCAATCTGGTGAAGACTTGCTGGAGTCCCATTCAGGACGGGTTCACATCCGACCTCAATGGTTCTCTTCTTTTCAACACACGGGCTAGTTTCCCTTCAGCGAATGAGTTGAACAAGGCAAAGATTTTATTTTCAAAGAACTTATATTCTAGTGGTGGTAGTCACAATAATAGCGACTAATATTATATTTATTTAATTAAACGTCCATACTTCCCAGGCGTGTTACAGGCATTATTCTGGTTAACCCTTACTACAACCCCAAAAGACAGCCGTGTAACTCCATCTTACAAGGAAGGAATTGGCAGTTGGGAAGTTGAGTAATTGGTCCAAGTTCACAGTGAGTAAGAGGCAGGAGGAGGATGTGAACCCAGGGTGGGTTATGTGTTTAAAAGACAGATGGGATGGTGTCAGATACTAAGTGATGGGTTTTGAATAACAGTAGAAGCACAGAGGAACTTTATGCTTCCCCTGAGGGGATTAAGAAGGTGAGAGGTTGGGGGAGTGGAGAGAGCCAGAGTGGGAAGCAGGACAAGCGTAGACAGGAGGAAGGAGGAGTGTGGGTCCAGGTTCAAGAGAATCACTAGAGATAAAATAGAGTTGGGTGGCGTAAAGCTAGATGAGTCCTGGGAGTCTGTCTAGTCTTGCTGGTCTCATTTAACAGGGAGGACACTGAGGACTCAGAGGGACAGCGATTTGTGTAGGGGCACATGGCATGTCATAGCACGTCTACAGCAGGCTGGGATCGGGGCTTCTGAATTCCAGAACTGTTCTGTATTCCCTGGATTATACCGAGAAGGTTATGGGAAGCCTTTGAGGGTATTAAGTCAATGCTTGTATGTTGACAGGGCTACAGATGGGTGAGGAGGGTGCGACTCTCTCCTGCTCTTCTCACGTTCCTCTCCTGGGATAGGTTGCTGCTCTGCTTTTGCCTTCATGCAAATCCGAAAAGAGATTTCATTACAGAAATGAATCACTTGTCAATGCATGATCTTTCCTAAATGACTGGGAAATTATAACTTTAGATCCAAAATCGTCTCATGGAGAATGTTTCAGATGATGTGGTACCATTTAAGACGGTGTTATATCAATACAAGAGGATTTAATCTGCCCATAAAGGTTTTAAACTTGACATTTCAAGTGAAGAAAAAAAAATAACAGAAGTATCAGATCGCATGGAGTTTAAATATTCATTAGAGAGTCGATATACCCCAACATAAATGAAAGTGAAAATTTATAACTGAAACTCTATGGTTTGATTATTAAATGTTGTGAGTTAAAATATTATTGATGGTTAAAATGCAAGGTATGACTCAAAAGGATGAAGGGATGCATTGTGGATAGATACCCTTTACTGTCTCCTCGTTCTCAAACATTACATAGATGAGACAATAAGTGGAAACAACCTATGTAAGCTACTTCTGAGCTTTGGTGAGCTGCAATACTACTGGATGTTTCAAGGGCCTCACTTATCATCTTACTTGTCAGCGTCATGTGATCTGTGTACCTACCTGGAGCTACTTTTATGCTATCTTGGGAAAGGGTTGAATTAAATTTACATATAGTGTTAGGAGTAGACTAATTGTTCAAGCATGTACCATAGAGCATAATGTGGTGGTGGTTGTTGTTTTTTCTCTGCTCATAAATATTTGTGGAGAGGTGATTCATTGTTTAGAAGTGGGTCATTCTCTATAAATGTGGCGTATTCCAAATGTGGCAGAGGAGTAGTCATTCCCACCTGCAGCAAATGTGTTATCTGTTTACGTACAGTTGTAAACGTGCACCATTGACAGTAATGAGAAAAACCCGTTGTTAACACAGCCTTTTAGATGCCCCACGTTTGCGCCTTCAGTATCACATCCCAAGTAGAAAGTTTGGCATTTTCAAAATAAAATGAAAATAATCCAGCCTTTGACCAGCACACTCTAAATATGGATTTACTTCCTGGTTCCTTTAATCCTACGTCGTCTGCTCTTTGAGGAGCGTTTACTTTATATCTGTTTATACAACGTAGCTGTGTTCCATTTAAAATAAAGCTAAACGCAAAGATTTGAATTGAAATTGGATGGTTTGTGATTGCTCAGTAGGCCAGGCAGGGGTTGAAATAGATTTGGAAACTAAATTACATATTTTTAACTCAGCAGCACAGCTTGTGATAGGGAAATAAAAGGAACTGAAATGGTTCTCTCTTTTTTCATCCCTCCAGGATCTCTTCTCCCTTGTCTTCTACATTCTCCTGTTGGAGGAGAAAAGGGGACATGGTGAGAAGAGAGAGAAGGAGGCCTGGTGGGAGAAGCTGTGCTGGGACTTCTGAAGGGACTGACGTAGCTCTTTCTGTGTCTGACGAAGCAGTTGTTGTCATCCTGAAGTAGCTGCCACCTGCTTAAGAGAGGCACACAAGTAACCCCTTCCACAGAGGAGCTAGATAATAATTTCCCCTTGGGCTTATCCACTTTCGGTAGTAATATGCCTTCTTAAAAATGCATAGCTAAGGTCTGGACTGACCCTCTGGAGGTGGTCTAGAAGGCTGGCTTTACCCACCTTCCATGAAGGTGACGCAGCCCCGGGAGGTGGTCTAGAAGGCTGGCTTTACCCACCTCCCATGAAGGGGACACAGCCCCGGGAGGTGGTCTAGAAGGCTGGCTTTACCCACCTTCCATGAAGGGGACGCAGCCCCGGGAGGTGGTCTAGAAGGCTGGCTTTACCCACCTTCCATGAAGGTGACACAGCCTTCACTGCATGTCAGTCTTTTGAGGCACATGATCTGGAACAATAAATAGTCCCAAGATAGGCGGTTGCCTTGAATCATCCTCATAACCTCTCTAAAATGAGAGTGAAGCATGAGAGTCAATTCTGTACGGTCGTTCACTAACAGAGCTCCACATTAATGGAGTCCTCTAGAGTTTTGAAAACTTTATCACATTACATTATTTATTAAGATTATCACAAAAATGCAAAGAGATAAGCAGGGCAGGCATCATCCCTCTGTTAGAGAAGGAGCTGGGAATAGTTACAGTGAATCGTCCAGGATTGTTGGCAGCTAGTAACTGGTAGGTCACAACTCACAGCCCAAGCTTTAAACCTTCAGGCAGGTCGCCGGTTGTTGTGACCATTGCTGAGGCTTTCTTGCGTTGTCCTGTGTATCAAGAGTCAAATTTTTCTGAATATATGAGGGCAGACAATTATGTTTGAGAACTCATCCTAGAAAAAGTGCTATGTACCTCACTGCTGAATATCACTCCAGGCCCCTTCAAAGTACGCCCCTTGGGAAGACGTGCACTGACGCCAGTGCCCCATCCACCCTCCAGAGCCATTCTGGTGCTCTTTTCCTGGAATAGGCATTAGAGCTGTCATCATGGAAATGTGACAATTAAATTCTCAAGCCCATCTCAGAAAAAGTGCTTTGAAGGGTGGACTAGGCACTGGCATGGATTGCACAGTCCCCCAAGGGGAGTACTTCAAAGGTGACCATAGTGATATAGGAGCCATTGTGAAAGTTTTGAGATACACCAAGATAGAGAAACTTAAAATCTGCACGGAGACAAATGAAGCCCTCTCAGCAACACGGATAAACTGAACGAGCTGAAACTTGCACAGTTAAATCACAAGAGACACTGTCAACTGTGTTTCTTGGAAATGAAATAATGAGTGATAACAAAGTCTGTCTCAAAACTTTTGTAGTGACCCCAGTATTCAGCAATTAGATATGTTGCACTTCTTCTAGGATGAATTTGTGAACTTAATTGTCTGGCCGCATATCTCCTTGTTACTAAGAAAAGTTGGTTTAAAATAACCAAGACTGCATTTCCTGAAAGCAATGAAATGAAGACTTTTAGTCTAAACTATTAATAGTATTTTAAAATGGTGAAGGAAAGATGGATTATTATATACAT